TTCCGCCCCGTACATCGTACGTTTTGTATTTCGTGCATATATGGTATAATCAAGTTTTATTAGATTAAAAACCTTTTAATTACATTTTAAATATTTCTATGGAAGTTCAGAGTCAAATTCTCTTCAGAAATAGAGAGAAGCGCAGAGGGTTACGGTAATGACGGCTGTGAACACAGGAGAGGATTTGAATCAAACGAGCAATTTTTGTGAAAGAAATGCTCCATTCAAGGATTTTTTCTCGAATCGAATTCTATTAGTAAATAATCATTCATCAAGTAGTTTTGGTATATCCATTTCATTGCTGAATGCAACCATTATGATACGTAAAGTAACTTGAATCAGAAAATACTCTCAGAGATTCCAATAAGAACTACTCTTCCATCGAAAGTATCAGTCGTTTCTTTCTACCAAGAGCACCAGACTTGTTTTCCATATGACTCACGATGTGAATGGTATCGTTTCTGTTCATGCAAGCATAACTACATAAATTCTGAAAGTCATAACAAACAGCAAACTATGACCGAACAACAGTTCATTATTGAATATTTCAAAATCTGGTCGTAAAGAGCCTTTATTTCATTCTGAAAACTATTCCAGTTGACGTAACTCCTTTTTTTCCGCCGTACGATATTACATGAGTTGCTGGAATCTCTGATTCGTAGTCCAACTCTTCTCCAGAAAACATGTCTATCAACTCATCTCTGAAAAATTCAATTGAAAATCTATTTTAGGTATATGTATACTTCGTGAAGTTGCAAGAGAACAACAACAAAGCCCCTCCTTTTGTCAGACTGAGAACAACTGTTTTTTTGTAAGCTTTCATCCTTGATTCTGAAACTACTCTCAGAAGCATAAAAAGAAAAGTTTCACCTCTATCGTCAGACAAACTCATAGCGTCCCATGTCCCTTTATCAAGAACATAATCAAATTTTGAAGCTAAGTTTTGAACCTGTTGATCATTCAAAATATCCAAAACCTTCAAATATTTCTTTATAGATGTAAATCATGAAACAAGTACCTGAAAATCTATTTTAGTTTCGAAGTCATTTTCTTCGGCATCTTGAACAGATATACTATTGGATAACTCAATAGCTGCTGGGGAATAATCAACCCCGATTAAAAACTTGAAACCCTTTGATCTCTGATTGAATAGCATTACTTTGCACTAACAAAAAATATCTACCAAAGATCGGAGGACTGAGCCGTTTCCACAGCCGAGGTCAAGAATTTTGGAATCACATGGCGCCGTGGCTTTTAGATACTTGCAAATTCTTAAAACATATATTAGAAGCTCCCTGGATAGACCAGCAACCTATTCTCAGCTGATTGTCCAAACCAAATTTCTCCCTCATCACCGCAATCTCTGAAGTTTTCTAGTTCCATTTGATAACGCCCATCCCAACTAAACTATTGGAAATATCATTTATTAAAACTGGCAACACAACTATTCTTTGGTTCCAAGCTGTGAAGGCGAGATAGTAACTTCTTCTTCACTCATTAGGACCTAAGCTCGAACATATATGAATGACACAAAAAACAAATCAATCAGGTAGCTAGCTTTGAGGTATACATATCACAAAATAAAATGAGGTTCAATTGAGTTTAATTCTACGACAGAAAATGTGCATTTCCGCCTATGCAACAAGATCACTTACATGAGTATCATATTGATCGGATACCGATTACAGAAAATAAATACCTAAAACGGAAAAATTTCGTTTTTTCCATATACAGCGATGAAAATATATTATTATTATTATTTCAAATTCATTCTATTGGCTAGTCTCTGTTTAGCAGTTGTTGCCAACTTCTTCTTCTTAGGGCACGGAGCTTCTGTAAACGTTTTCATTTGTTGAATAAGGAACCGCTTCCATTACCTGTGAGTATAGGTGAGAGGGGAGCCTTCTTGGGTTTCAATTTATGCTTCTTCTTCACGTCAGCCATCAACTCTCTCTCTTCTTTCTGAACAATTTCTTCCATATCATCTCCCCACTCGAAATCAATGCCATTGTCTACAGAAATTTTATCTGAACGGTTAATATAAGGACGGAGAACGAATTGTGAGAAACCGTTATCCTCTGTGGCAAAATGATCTCCAACAGAAGTTGCCAACCACTTCGAAGGTTTACGAACTCTTCAAGAAAATTAATTCAATAACTTGACAATTTGTTATTTCAACCTTCCTCTGGAACTCTTCGATGTGAACATTTGAGTCATATCAATATTATCAATTACTCCTGCAGTTTCAGCTATTTCCGCTACGCCTTCCTGTAATTGAAGAATGTAATCTGACTCACGCCTCTACTTACTTCCACCGTCCTCGCAATAGTTAATTTCAGAGAACCTGTATTTGTACACTTCAGCTCTGGTTCTGATATCTCTTCCCTGTAAACTCATTTTAGAAAATTTATCTAAAAACTTTCGTCATACTTATTGAGAACTTCTATAGATTCAGATCTGCTTCCCACTGAAAAATAAATCAAATTGAAGAACCCTATGCAACTCTTACTTCTTATTTTTATTTTTAATGGCATTTTCATCAATTCTGCTTCTTCAGATGATTCTCTCTTTCTAAGCTTCTGCAAAATAAAGTTTGAAGAAGTGATTTGCAAAACATTTTCACCTTCTGTATTGCTATTTGTCTGGCTAATCTCTTTAGAATCAAACTATAAGGTTTGACGTACCTCCCTTCTTTCTGAAAAAAAAATAAAGATAAGGTAAGTAATATTGTTGTTAATTTACTTTGTCGATAGCTGCCCATTCTTTAAGATGAAGCAACAAATTCTCAAAACCGTCTATAACACTAGCGTCTAAAGCTACTCGATCTTCATTCGAATCTGAAGCGAAATTCTCCGATTACTCATTTGCTATACAGAACAAACCTTTCAAAACTTCCAGTAAAATACTTTTTACAGCATTCCAATGAACTAGTTCAAAATAAGGGAACATGAACTTGTCATCTAACCCAACGGCGGCTTTAACCCTCTGCTCCAAATCATACACTCTGAATAGATATGAATAGAAGAAAGTTTATCGTGCTTACCTCAGCTGCATATCTATGTTGAGAGCATGGAGAAAATTACCTCCGAAGACTAAAGAGTCTACAGGAGTAAACACAGCATGAATCCATCCTGCAGGTATCATCAAGGTCTCCCCTTCCTCAATTACCACCTGAAAATCGGACAAGACTGTTTACAAAACCACAATATGTTTACTCACTCTTCCTAGCTGACCCGCAGGGAACAAATCTCCGAGAAACACCAGAGTTCTATCCTCTCTCTTCTGATAATTTTCATAGATTTCCAGGTTTTCTTCAGTAGGAGGAGCTATATAGAATATTTTCTTGCCCTGGGAATATATAAAAAGTATATTACAATGGTTGCTCATTTCATACCTTGAAGATGTGATACCACACAGAGCTACCACCGAAGTCAATGTGGAAGTCAGTATAAGATCCAGCCATGCCACACAAACAGAAAAGAGCTACATCTGGTTTACTCAGTTTTTGCTCTTCTGCTATTTTCACGGCTTTTTCAACTGGAAAACAATACCTTCAATGCCGTATCAAGATATTTCCAGGTGTACGAGTACAAGGATAATTTTCGAGCTTTTAAAACGGATATGAAACTTAAACACTAACGAGATGGGTTCCAATTTACAGGATCATGGCAATCGGGCCATAAGCGATGAACAAAGCTAATTTTGTTCACTGTGATAGGCGGAGCAACCAGGTCACGCATTCTGACACGAAATATACTTATATAAAAATAAAAAAGAATCTTACTTTTCACTTCTACTAAATTCGAGCGATAAGAAGTTGTACAAGCGCTCTCTCTCTTGACTTTTGAACCTGGATACAAAACTGCTGAGCTTCATCGCCACTGTTGCTTGTTTATAAACATCTATCGTATCTACGACATAATCACCTCCTGGGTTGATAACATAAAGTGAATTGCTGATCAAAAGTAACTAACCAAAAATATCTAATAAGCTATCAATATAAAAATCATTATCTGGCATTTTCAAACACAAATCGTCTTTCTTCTTTATTAAAAAAACCTTAAAGTATAAATTAGTAAAAGAAGAGTAAGCTTGTGTGAAACACAACCGGTCAATGTCAGTTCAGGTTTGTAAATAAACTCACTTTTTCCCACGTTTTTAACGTGTCAAAAATAGCATTGAACTCTTGGCCATTTTCACAAATATAACATCCACTCTCATCACTGCAACTGATAAACGTTGAAAAAATTTTAAACTATGAACCTACGCCATGGGAATATTCATTTCGTTAATTGCAAACTTCTCAATCCAAGTTTTCGAGCCGACTTCAGTGGGAAGTAAAACTTCATTTGATTCGAAACAGTTTAAACGATGCGGAGCAATACATTTTTTTACTATAAAATTAGAAATGAAATCTTCAGATATAGAGAAACTTACATATTGTGGGTCCTAAAGCATGCTCACATCCACTACAATGATAAAACTCGATGAGGAAATCTTCTAGCTCCTCCACTCCCACGCAACTGAAACTAGATCAGTAAACGAAAACTATAAGAAGACTTTACCTTCCATGGAACCACTGAAGACAACCATCGCAGGATATCCAAAATGGATCATCCTCATATTTATATACTTGCCCATGAGGGGATAACTTTTCTGCTTCGCTGAAAAAAAGAAATGTGAAAGAAACAATTAGAAAACAACATACCCAGTGGCACTCCTTCTACAAACTCCACAGCTATTACGATCGACTTCGATCTATAGTAAGTTCTTGTTTCTGTTTCAAAGCAAAACTTTTTGCAAACCTTAACTTCTATTGCTTGAACAGGCAAATTGAAGTTCTCAACTTTCGTCGCACTGGAATCCGCTTGCTTCTCACTGGATGATTCTTCCAATTCTGAAAAAATATTCTCCACATCAGTTAGACATTAAGCACTCACTTATATTACTAGATTGCTCTTCTTGTTTATAGACAGTTTCTTTTTTAGGAGAAGAAGATTGGGTGTCATCCCCAGAATGAACTTCAAACATTCTCTGCAAATTTTCAATATTATAGTGATTCACTACTGAAGACAAAAAAAATTTCGAGTCAAGTTTCCCCAATAAATTGAGTGAAACGTTTAGACATAACATGCATACGTTCAATGAAATATAAGAAGCCGAGTATTCATATGATCATTTAAATAGTTACGAGACCCACATATGATTCGTAAAGACGAACTTCACTGCTTAGTTTTACTTATTCTCTTATTCTTTAATTTTTGTGAACAAAAAGAATAAAATTAAATCATGAAAAGAATACAAAATAACATTTATAGTTCTGGAGAATTGGAAAAAAGCGTTAAATTAATGCGGAAACCCCTACGCAAAATTTCGTTCTAGCTGACGCTCAATAATTAGGAAGCCTCTTAAGTAAACAATGTAGCTGCGTTCCTGTGGAAGAAGCTCTGTATCATAACGTTTCTGGTCAAAACAATTTCATAAATGTCAGAATCATTTCAAGAAGCGACGTTAATGCTCGAGAATTTCACATATAATGACGCGATGAAAAAATATTATTACCTGATTGATGACAATTTCGAAAAATTTTCAAACAAAAAATTGCCATAAAAGTCAAAATCAATAGTTATCCAATAACAAATAACATTCGCGATAGGTAAATGTACTTTAGAGAAAAAAGGAAAGTTAAGTAGTGCAAGTAACATTTGGTAGAAGATGAACACAACAGTTACTTCTAATCCCAGAAAAGAATTCATGCCTAACCTGGTTTATCATCCAGTGTACATAGATGTATGAATGATGAGTTGCTGCTTCTGTAGTTGGGGCACATCTAAAAATCTTGAAACATTGTAAGAAAACAAAGCGGAATAGTTAAGGAAACCAAGAGATAGCCCATATAGGATAACATGAAATTGAAACTCCGGAATTCAGTTCGTTTCTGAACTCCGACATATAAGAACTGTTGTTGAAGATCATGAAGAAACCGTTTCAACTCTTCTGATATGTGAAGCTTATTTTTATAGCTCCCGTGGAACTTTGCATTTGAATTACTGATTTTGTTGAATATCATTCAGTCATTAGTGATCCTCTTCTCAACAAAATTTACGTCAATGCTCACTAAGTACGCATGTTGTCTGACATTGAATTTACAAATTTCACTGCTAAAGAATTTTAGATGAAAAGAATTTGGAACGCTGTTGGTAAGACTGTTAGAGATGGAAATTTCCAGAAAAAAGCTGTGAACTATGTAGAAAAAATTGAGAAAGGAAGCACAAAGGTTAGTCTCTCATTATAGCTCGAAACTGTTGCAACACTCAATAGGTTCACGCCCCGAAGGTTCCCACCGAAGAAAAACGGTTCAATGAAGCTCAGAAAGATGATGCTGTAAAGAAGGTTTGTAGAGACTAGTTTACTTTCATTATATCGTTTTTTTTCTCAGGATTTGGAGACAAGACATGAAGGATTGTTAGGAAATATGAACAAGTTCAAAATAACATCTGTTGAACCTCCAGAGCGTGAGGTTTCTGACAAGTTCATCAATGGTATCTTTCGCAAAGAATTCACTTTCTTCTTGCAGAACTTTTCCAACTCGGGAGTCAGAATGGTACCACAGGAATGATCCAGTTTGGGAGTTTGGATTTTATGAACCGGAGGCAGATAAAATACCTAAGAACAAATTAACTTTTCGTGAAGCTCTTGAAGTAAGGAACATCAGCATAGCTATGACTGATTTCTCGTTCAAAGATTTTGGAAGCGAAAGGACAATTGAATGATCCTGAACAAACACCTGCTGCTTCCAAACGAAGAGAAATAGCTACAGCAGCCTTAGAGAACCATGCAGGTTTCGCTCGTGTTGATCAAGAACTTGTTGATAAGATGTACGAGTTCTTCCGCCCTTTTCAAAGAAAGGATTTACAAAAAGTTTGTGTCCTATTTTCTAATCAGTTTACATTGAATCCAGGTTGTTAACAAGCACGATCTTGCTCAATTGCAAGAATATCTTCAAGGGAGAACAGATGATAAACGTTTGGTAGAAGGCACCAGAGATCATGTTCGAGAGCTCTTCAAGAAAAAGCTCGTTAAGGAGGAGTATGATAGGGTAAGATTTGTTGAACTATTGTTCTTAACTTCATTCTGTAGCTTGATGACGAAGAAATCCGCAAGTTTCAAGAAGCAGTTCTGAAAATTAGGGAAGGCCAACATGATCGCCTGGAAAAAAGACTCAAAGATATCAAAACAGTTAGCATATTTCACAATTCTAGCACAAAGCTTCATCTACAGATTGAATCCAAAATAGAAGAAATGGAACGAAAGTCTTCAGAAGAAAAGAAGCCTCACGAATGATGTATTAAACGAATGACTTGGTTTACTATAGGTTAGGATAGAAAAATGTTATTTTTTTTTGCTCACGGGTATTGAATAAAAGTTTCGAATTATTCTCATGTCTGTAGTTCTTATATGAGTGTTGTATGTTTAAATGACATTGATACATAAGATGTTCTTTAGAACGGGTTAGAGTACTATTTGAAAGATATGAATCGGAAACTTCGTGTCGTTGTTGGATTGTCAGGTGGCGTAGATAGTACTGTTTCTGCCTTTCTTCTCAAAAAAGCCGGCTACGATGTCCAAGGAGCTTACATGGTGGCTACTTATGATATCCTCGAAAACCGTGGAATGCTTATGTAGGTGAATTGGGATCATGTGGAGGAAGGAGTCTCTGATTGCCCGAGGACATTGGATGAAGCAGATGCAAGACGGGTTTGCGATAGGCTTGATATACCTTTCCACTCAGTTAACTTTGTAAAAGAGTATTGGAATCAAGTATTCACGTAAGAGCTAACATTTGAAATCAATCTCGTCTGAAAAATATTTTAAGAGGTATGTTGGAAAACTATAGGAAGGGCAGAACTGTTGTTCCGGATGTTCAATGTAATCAGTTCATTAAGTTCGAACATTTCCACAGTTATGCTGTACGTATTCCACAGTTTCACTTTCAAACTTGTTAATAGATCAATGAGCTAGGAGCGGACTTTATTGCAACCGGTCACTATGCGTCTACATCTCGAAATGATTTCCACGAGCCGCGTTTCGGAAGAGGTAGTTCGATAACTTATTTAGTATTCGTTCTTCTCCAGTGAAGTTATTGTGTAGCAAAGACCCCATAAAGGATCAAACGTACTTTTTATGTACACTAGCTCAACGTCAACTTGAAAAGGCAATGTTTCCTGTTGGGAATATGAACAAAACAGAAGTTGTACAAATAGCCAGGGAGCAGGGGTTCGACGATATATCGTCCAAATCCGAGGTATATCATAACCGGTATCAGTTTATAACACTGTTCTAGAGCATGGGAATATGTTTCGTGGGTAAAAGAAAAAAGTTTGATGAATTTATGAATCAGGTTTGCGTCATACTTATTCCTCGCATGGTTGTTTCAGTACATAAACCCTGTGGAAGGTGATATTGTCATGCTGGAAGGGAAAAGAGTAGGGTATCATGAAGGAGTGCACCTATTTACTCTTGGGAAAAGAATATCCATAAAGTCACGATCTCACCTGGGCTTGTTTGTGGCCAAAATAGATTATAAGAGAAATATTGTTTATGCGGTATGCAGTTCAGTTTAAGCACAAAAAAAATATTTATTACTTCTCAGGTTGAAGGATCACATCACCCGATTCTATATGCAACAAAATTTTTAGTGAAGAAACCTAAATGGATTTGTGATGACCCTATAGGTAACTGTTCTTATTGATACAGATGGAAATAAATTTAGAGCAAAAAATGAATGTCACATGTAGAATACAAAGAACGCATCCAGCAATTCCTTGTGAGATAGATACAGTAGGCAATCTTTTATCTGTGAAGCCTATGCTACCCTTGAGAGCTGTAGCAGATGGACAAGTGAGTTAAAAACCATTTTATAATAATTTATCAACTTCGTCGAAGTACATAGCTAGACAAAAGGCTTTCACCACCGGTTTCAGGCTCGGTGTAGATTTCGTATATAGGTTGGGGTCCCACTGAAAATTAATGACAGGAAATATCTTAGATCATCAAACTTACGTCGACTGGCTCGAAGAACAGCTTTATAAGGGAAAAAAGAGTGTTTCGAGTTTCTTAGATCGTATCGTGAGTAGGAACGATCAGCAACTACCGAACAGAGAAGTAAAAGAATATAAAAACAGTGTGCGTTCATCTGAAAAATGGAAGGATTGAAACCTAAGCGATTAAAAAATGCTTCTCAGAAGTAATTTGTAATCGAGGGAAGTATGTTTTGCATGTGTTACTTCTCATAAATTAATGCAAGTAATTTTGGAAACGGAAAACAACTCAAAAGCAGGACATCTTCTCATGTAGCCTGTACTATCTTCTTCGTGGGAAAGATGAGGGGGTGTTTAAAGATGAATTATGAAGAGCTCGTATATTTGTGGAAAGTTGGAAAAAGAAATTGATAGATGATGATGTATTAGGTCATATGCTCAAGTCTCCCAGATTTTGAGACTCTTTTATACCAAGCCTTGTTGACGTAATTGCATTTCAAAAAGCTTCAAGTGTATTGAGGACAAATATATAAGCACCTTCTTAAGATTTAAGAAATTTTATTTTCAGATGTGTGTTTTCTACAACAAGAACGAATGTCTTGGTGGAGGTGAAGTGCAGACAGTTTGCTCAACCTTGCATGATATGTAGTAAAGAAGTTACGAATAAATGAGATTTTGAATAAACTGCTAATCCCTCTGTCTTCTAATACTTATTTGATTGAGAGCACTGGATATACCACTGAATTGAACGTTTGCTGTCAGAGTCTGTACTGCAAAAACTCTCATGAACCAAAAGATTGATCATAAAAATACCTAGTTTTTTACGGAATATCTTAGTAACAAACAAACGATAGGGCTTGTTGACCAACGTCATTGTTATCGTTCCACAAGTTCCATGAAGTGAAAAGCCTAATAAGCAGATTTGATTAATGCCTAGACGTTTCTGTTTTGAAAACATTCTCGACCAATGGAATATCACCTTGCTTTGCTGTGAAATAAAATAATGTTGAGAATGTTAAAAAAGCTCCAAACATGGCAATCAAAACTATAGGAACAGTAATCTGCAAAAACAGAATGCTCCGTATTGGCTGCGGAGAATAGCTCACTTGCACAATCAAACAAATTATGTAAGTCTTTTGAAGTTTGAGAGTTAAGGCTGAAAGGTTTGAGCTTTGAGATTCAAGAATGATGAAAGAGTGACCCAAGACATATGAACTGATGGCTACAGCCACACAAACCATAGTTATAACACCCAACTATATAGAAAAGCATATCAATTAACGATTCAAGAATGCATTACCACAGAAAGCCGAACCAAGAAGTTCAAAGCAACATCCTCTTCCGGGTTAGCAAAAACAGCAATAGAATTGGGTATCTCACTTAATCCACGCAGACACGTATGTACCTGTAAATAAGTCCTCTCCGAATGAAAGGTTAATCAAATTACTTCGAAATATCTCAATGATGTTTCACGCGGACGATAGTTCAGAAACCCCATTATGATTACAGGAATCAAATACCAAGCATACGTACTCAATCGTATGCACCATTCAAAACTATCCGAGTAATGTTGGGGGTGATCTACAGATAGCAAAACTCTTCTTCGATACCAAAACAACTGGATGATTGAACACAATGTTCCACTGAACGTCAAGAACGTTATCACAATTTGATAATACGAAGGAATATTGAAGACTGTGTACATATAGCCAGCACTATATCCAGCCAAATGTGGTAAGAACAAGACAGGAGTTACTCCAGAAAGTAATAAATTCTCCAGACAAGAGGACCACAGTTGATTATTAAGTAGATGCCAACGATAGTATTTCATCTGCTGTGTTGATTTGCAAATAATAAGATAGATTCCGAAAACATTGATAGGTGTTGTTATGAAGCTCAATATCTTCATAGTGTTAATAAAGAAAGTCGGATACAGATCAAATGGTTCGCAAAATATTGGAACTATGCTCGGTTTTCTTGACATGATCGAATGATATTTATTTGAAAAGCTTGAAATTTTGAACAAACGCACGTTAGTCTCAGATCTGATATGAATAATTCAGCAGATCAATTTATTTTAACTGTGTAAAACCTGATTATGCGAATTAACTCAACAACAATTAATTTATTCTGATGTAACCGTTCAGAATAATTGTAGTTCATTTACTAGTATTCTGTCATTGAAACTCAGTGGGACCTGAGAAACAAAAAAATATATCGAAGATCGAATAGTATACCGTCAAACAACTCAACCGCTTAGAGCTTCATCAGTCAATTCTCTGAAGTATTCTATAAGTTCAAGTTGTACAGGAACAAACGAGTACAATTATAGTAATCTTTACTTCAAACAAGACGCTACAACAATGTCATAGCTACCTTATATGTGTGTCCCTGATGCGACATCGTTTATCTTCTTCTCCGCCATAACGTTCAAATGCTAAAGAAAGTGTGCTCGGATGACAAAATATATCGCGCGAGAATAGAATATTTGAATCAAAACGCTCAGGCTTCATTTTTTCGATACTGTTTTAATTATCTAAAGAAACCAATAAATTTTATAAAATTGATATTTCACAGAACTTTCTTTAATTCCTGTTCAATTTTTAGTATGGAAGTCGATAAAGTTGTTCAAGATGAGAATCAGCAAAACGCTGAGCTACTCGATACTCCACCCAACCACAATAAGAAAGAAACAGTAAGCCTTTTTTGGACTTTCAACATTTACTATTATGCCTTAGACTTTGGATACTTCAACTGATGATTCGGAAAACTTGCATGATATCAGTCATTGTAGTGTTTCTACAGAGAAGGTAACCGAAAGCAACCAATCACACCGCAATATTTTTTACTAGGGCTTCCCCATGGCTTGTGCTAAAACGAAAGCCACTCCAGAAGCTGTTCGCACTCGTCGTCTTGTTCAGGAACATTTACACATGAGTTCACCCTCAGACTCGTTGCTATCTCCTTGTACCGCGAAGTTATTCGGGAAAGGAGGAAAGAAGGTTTGTTCTTTTTCTTTCCATTTGCGCTGTATGTTGAATCGTATTGTGCCCTTTTAGCATGTTTTTACGGAAAATATGGTATGGGTTTGTTTAGCTTTATTGCTATTCCTACCTTTAGTACTTTAGATTCTTCCCTTTAGTTCATTTAGCCCATTCCTAACTTGTTAAATCATAACTAAACATTTTTATTGCGTTTTTTAGGCTGTTAGTGGACCTGCCGCTGCCCTGAGAAAGAAGCAGCTTACATCGATTCCTTTCAAGTTGAACGAATAAGAATTTTTGTTTATAAGGATTTTACTTACATCTATTTTTTGAGTTCAAATAACGAAATCTTAACAGTTATATTCTACTAGCAGAGTGAATCTGTACCAATTGTCTATGAAACATTGTACATTAAACATATTATGAGCTACCAAGGTGGATCATTTCTCAACAGTATTGCATAAAAATGATGCTTGTATGAAACTTCAATCTTAGTCAGCGGGAATCGATCGATTTTTCATGAAATTGGTAATTAGCTTGAACGGTGAGCAGGTTCACAGCTGTTCAGCTTTACATGAGCGTAATCGTCTTACTGGCTTATGTATTGCCCAAAAGGGTATTTCTATAGCAACGGCACAAAGGCAGGAATAGCTACTGCCCAAATTGTAAATGCTTTGATCTGCTTTCGAAATATCTACCGGAAGAGATCATGTACTACATACCTTGCGCTGTCAGAACTGGCCACGATTTCACTTCCATTTCTAAAGTAATGAGGCTAGATGTTTGCTGAAAACATTCTTTTTCACCATCCTTTTCCTGGAAGAAATCTTTTAACATAGCCAGTAAGTAACAGACAATTTAAACTCATCTGGTTTTTACCTCATATATTTCCTTCCAATTATGCTAATGTACAATCAAAGGTGCCTTTACGATTATTCCTCTGTATCTCTATCTCACACTTGCAATATTGCTTGCTTGATTTCTCAATTCCTCATTTTCCATTCCTTTTTATCTCTGTTCGCTCTTCAGCGCACCTATGATTCGTCCTTTCTTGTGTATGGTGCTGACTTCGCTGCCAACGTCTGTTTTGTGCTTATACTATTAATTACAAATAAACACGATATAATCTACGTCAAGCTATCCAACTGTTTCTAATACCTGTTCATTCTGTTTTCAAAGATATGCTTTCATGAACCCTTTCATTCCATTTGGTATGAACGTCAACTACAATCAAATCAAGCTATTGTTAAGTAAATTCTTTAGTAAATGATTGAAATAATGAATACTAATTCGATATAGCTTTATCAGCCAATTTATTATTTTTAGTTTTTCCATTTTTGGCATGATGAGCGCTATATGAACTGAACAAACCGCTGACAGAATAATTTCTCCAATTAGTTATTGATTTCAAGCTCTGTTAACTGCAAGTTCATTAGAATAAGTGCTCACAGCTCAGTTTATGTACAGATCATTTATAGACGCGATTACCTACAATTCGGTTGAATACGTATATACTCTTCTGTACTTAATTTTTTTATATTATAGTCTGTGCTTTTATTTATGAAAATCAAGCTTTTTTCACTCCCATGGATGAAATTTGTTGTCAATCGTTGGACCATAAGGTCAGGTAACATAGTCAAACAATAGTTGTCGTAGAATTCTTAATGGAAGCATCTGTTATAGCTCATCTTTCCATGTTCTCTTATTTTACTGAGTTTATTTCTTTGGCTCTCACTTCATTTTTTAAAAATTGCAGTCTATGGATTCGGTGAATAATCATCAATCGCACTTCTAGTACATATTTCGAACTTGCAACTATTTTATCTCTCCTCCTCTCTCAACCTTCCCTCTCTCTCTCTCTCTCTCTCTCTCTCTCTCTCTCTCTCTCTCTCTCTCTCTCTCTCTCTCTTTTTTTTTTTCTCTTTTTTTTTTTCT